GGATCGAGCCCCGCATTGGGCTCCCTGCTCAACGGGAGGCCTGCTTCTCCTTCTCCCACTCTCCCTCTCTCGCTGTCTCTCTCTGTTAGATAAATAAATAAAATCTTCAAAAAAAAAAAAAACTTGGGAAGGAAGGAATTGATTTCCAGGGACCAACATGGGTTTACAGAAATCCCCAAAATCAGACTAGTCTCAGCTTTTCTTCAAAGGGCATTACTAAACCGCTGTAGATCACGGACTCTATGAACTTTGATTTTTGTTAAGTATTTGCCAAAAAGCACATTGTATCATTCCTGTGGACAAGTGAGAGAAATGAGGTTTGAATGAAAGTAATAATAATTCCTTTGTGTGGATAGGACATTGCAGTTTACTGTGCATGCTCATATGCTTTCTTATTTTTTATTTTATTTTTCTTTATTTTTTTGAGTAAGCTCCACACCCAGCGTGGGGCTTGAGCTCACGACCCTGAGATCAAGAGTTGCATGCTCTACCAACTGAGCCAGCCAGGTGCCCCTCTTGCTTTTTTTGTTAATATAATGACTTAGCAAGGTTGATGGTGCAGGTGAGAGTACCCCATTTTCCAGGTGAAGCGGAGACTCAGTGCAGTTACCCAAGGTCACAGTCGAATTACTAGAAAAGAGGTACAACTGGGTTCTAACCCAACATGTTTGGCTTCTAAGAGTCTCAGGGCATGACCCCACCATGGTCACACTGTATATGTTCGTAACTGGGTTGAGGCCACCATTAGATGGGCACCTTTAGTACTGTAGAACTCAAGAAAGACAGCACCCCCTCTCGCCACGTACACCCCTCCGCTCTCACCCACCAGCCCTGCGTGCATCACAGTTCCCACATGTTGTAAAACTGAGATCAGTATCTGATACATGGGATAATAGCCCCGGACTCATAATGTTCTTAACAGCATATGTCATGGACCAATTTAAATAAAATGACATTTATTTAAACAAATGTAAAAACTTACACTTAGGTTTAGAAACTATCACCATAATTATTTTGGTGATTTTTTTAGCCCATATATAAAAATCCCGAACTTGATAATATTTTGTGTGTATAGAAGGCACAGCACAGTGTGGTATGGTTTCCAGAACACCAGTGCATTGGAGCACACAGGGTGTCTGGAAGGCGAGATGGTAGGACCAGGGTTCTGCAGACCCAGACCCCAGCTGGCTGTAGAGAATTCCCAGCGGAGACGAACCGGGAAGTTCAGGCTTCCGAAAAGTCGGTCATTTGTAGACTGTTGTGGGAACCGAGGATTCTCCTTCATCCATCCACATCAGCGTTTGTTTATTGAGCTTCAGAATGTCAGATGATCAAGAAGCAAAGATGAACCAGACAGGGTGCCACAAAGGAGAAGTTTCATAATGACCACGGTTACTTCAGCGTGGCTGTGGGAATTGGCTTGCTGCCCACGGGGATGGGACTAGGGATGTAGGAAGAGGGCACCCAGGCAAAGGGATGACACAGGCAACACTGTAGGGTGGACCTGCTGCATATGTTGGGTGGGCATTGTGGTTGGAGAATATGTGTTTGATTGGAGCCCAGGGTACCTGGGGGGCCTGGGGAGATAAAGCAGGTGTTGGGTTTGGCGGTGTTGATTGCACAGAGTCTGATGCCAGGCTGAGTTCATCCTTGGGTGCACGTTTTTGTGCAGAAGAGGGACTGAGGTGAGGGCTGTGTTGTGTGAAATCCGTTCTGGCAAACCCGGGAAACATGGGTTTTAGGAGGGGCGCTCGCTGTGGTGCAGATACAAGGAGATGTCGCCTGAGCCATTGTGGGGAGGAAAAGGGGAGCCTTTCGGAAGGTGGGGGAGTTCCCTGGAGCCTTCTCAGTTTTGACTGGACACTTTGTGGGCTAGGAGGAGAAATAGATGGCAGTGGGTTCAGGGGCTGTGGCCTGGACCCTCTTGTCTTCGCCTGACCTTTCACTCCCTGGGACCTCTGTTTTGAGGACCCCTCTATCCCAGCCCTCATAATCTTACCAGATTCTTTTTAGAGCTGGAAAGGGCCATCAGGAATTCTCTCTTCCAGAGGAAGAGACCTAGAGCCTAAGGAGCTGGGGGAGGTGGGTGGGGCAAAGTGTTTACAGGTGAGTCAGTAAACATGGTATTTCCTGTCCACCAGCCTCTGTGTCTGCCACGTCCCAGTCTAGTGAGCAAGGGTCTGCCGATAGAGGAGCCAGTCCGGCATGGCAGAAAGGACCAGCCAACTCTAGAAGGGTTCTTTTCCCAACCTCCCCCTTGAGCTCTTTCTAAATTTAGAGCCATTTTAGAAAGACATCAGAAACGTAAGATTTGGAATGATCTAGAGAGAAGCTTGGGCCAGCTGCCCCTATTTTCCACATGTGGAAATGTGTGTTTTCAGTTCATCCTCCGCGAGTGTTAAAATGACATCCCTGGATGGTAAGCCCTGAACCAAAATAGAGAGGCTCAGGTGGGGAGCAGGCGGGATTTGGGGTCTGCCAAGTTTGAGCGACCCTGTCCATTCAGGGCACCATGCCTGGTTTGTAGCTGCAGAAGTCCAGGATGGGCGTATGGATTTGGGGAAATTATGAATCGCTTAATGGTCACAGTTAATGCATGTGGGACTAGAGCATAGATCTCTTGCTTCCTGCCAGCCCAGTTCTGTCTGCCACATGGTGCTGCTAAAGCTGTATGCTAACTAGTTCTGTCCCCCCAGGAAACCCACTAATGAGGCACTGGCGCCGTGGTGGTAGGTGTTGGGTAGGCTAGCAGTGCCGGATAGTAAGAGAGCAAGTACATCGGAGGAAGAGTGCCAGAACGATGATTTTGTGTGTTTTTAATTGTATTTGTTGTCTAACGACTGCCAAAAGATCCGTGTTAAAGAACACTCGGGAAGAAAACCATCCATGGTTTCTCCATCCCAACACAGGTCTTTTGGTTTTCGCAAACCGTTTTTATCAAGCAAACCATACAGCGCAGACAGATTTCTTTGTAGTTGGAATCACAGCTTCTTACTCCTTTGTGGTCTGTTTACTTAATGTCGACATAAGAATCTTCCTGATTCTTGTCTCATCCTTATAATTATCTGTCCTAACGGCCCAGCAGTATTCCCGAGTGTTGATGGGCCCAGCTCTGTGTCCCTGTGGTTGGAGTTTGGGTTGTTTCTTCTTCGTGCCCCAGCCCCAGCTTTATTTCTCCAGTAGATAATGCTCCAGAGAATATCTCTGCACCTGGAGCCTTCTGCTCCTGTTGAACTGTTGCCTTTAAGGAGTGTTTCCAGGAAGCAAGGAGTCTGAAGGTTGTAATCCAGTGCTATAATTTTGAGGTTTTTTTTTTTTTTTTGGCTTTTTGTGAGTGCTGTTTTATATAACACAAATGCAGACATACACATAAAACAAAGGTTCAGTTTCACAAAGTTCGGGAAGGCAGACACCCTTGTACCACCCACCACGTCAGGAGCTGGGTGGGACCTTGCCAGCCAGCGGGAGGTCCACTATGGGCTCTCTCCCTGGCACATCCCCTCTGGGCCCCGGAGAGCAACAACTCCCCTGACTTCATTGTAACCACTTCTTGATCCTCTCTTCAAGTCTTCTCACCCAATGTGCGTCCCTACACAATGCAGTTTCGTTTTGCCTTTTTTTTTTTTTATAAAGGTGTCTTTTAGATCTTTTGTAACCTCTAGGTGCCCCTCCATCCCTTTACTTCTGTCTCTTCTATTTGTTGAAGAAGCTGTGTTGTCGTCCTGAGGAGTTTCTAGAATTTCCCACAGGCTGGATCTTGCTGGTGGCAGCCCCATGTAGTTTAGAACATTCCTCTGCATTTCCTGCAGTTGGCTGTTGGATCTACTGGTTGAATCAGCCCCAGACTTGTTTTGTTGTTGTTGGGTTTTTTTTTTCCTGTGGGGAGAAAGATTACATCTTGAGGGGGTGTTCTTCATCAGGATGTACTTGATGGCTGGTTGTTGGTTGTGTTCTGTCGCGATGTTAGTAGCCGTCCAGGCTCAGTGCTTAGCACCTACCATTCATTAGAAGTTGCAAAATTGTAATACTGCAATTCTGTGATTCCTTCTTCATTTTGTTGTTGGTGTACTACTATAAAGAGAAATTCTGCCCATCTGCTATTTTTAATACCTTTATTGAGGCGGACATACCATATAACTCACCTATCGGAGGTGTATAATTTGGTGGCTTGTAGTATATTCATAGAGTTGTGTGTCTGTCCCATGCCCAATGTGTGGGGCTCGACCTCATGACCCTGAGGTTAAGCGTCACATGCTCTGCTGACTGAGCCAGCCAGGCACCTCTGGTTTTATTGGGGTTTTTTGTTACTTGTGCTTGTGGTGTTTTATCTAAGAAGTCATTGCTTAATCCAAGGTCATGAAGATTTGTGCCTCCGTTTTGAGAATTTTATAGTTTTAGCTCTTGCGTTTAGGTCTTTGACCCGTTTTGATTTAATTTTTGTATATCCCATCATTTATTCTTTGGTTACCCAGTGCTACAGCCAACTGGCCAGATCAGTGCCTGATCCTCTTCCCTTTATTTACCAGTTTTCATAATAAGGCATTGGTTCCTTATTCATTGTATGAAGTTGTTCTTTGGTGTTTTGTTTTGTTTTGTTTTCATTATGAGTAATTAGATTTAATAATGAGTTTTTATAATATAAATAATTAAATTGTTTAAAAAGATTTTATTTGAGAGAGAGTGAACGAGACAGCGAGCAAGAGAGAGAGAGCACGAGCAGGGGCAGAGGGAGAAGCAGCCTTCCCGCTGAGCAGGGAGCCCGATGCAGGGCCTCGATCCCAGGACCCTGGGATCATGACCTGAGCTGAAGGCAGATGCTTCCCTGACAGAGCCACCCAGATGCTCCCAAAATAATTAAATTTTTAAAAATTATGTATACTGTGGCATATACACGTATACAATATAGAGACAAAAGTGGTTTTGGTTTTGTTTCTTTTAAAATGTTTTATTCTTATCCAGTGGTCACATCCTCAGTTTTCATCTACCCAATTGTCTTCCAGAAACATGCCAAAGGCCAGGATCTGTTTGATCAGATTGTGTACCACTTGGACCTCGTGGAAACAGATTACTTTGGCCTCCAGTTCCTCGACTCTTCCCAGGTTGCTGTGAGTACTCCTTTGACACATTTCGGGACAGGTTGATTTTTCATGCTAATTGCAGATCCACAGTTGCTGGAGATTGGTAGAGGGAAAATAGGAATGAAACCGTGATGTTGTTGCAGTAGTGAGCGTTGGGGTGTCAGTGATAGTGCCCATGTGACATTCATTCACATGCCCCCCCCCACCCCCGAGGTGGCCAATAACCGGGAGAGGAAGAGAGAAAGAAGCGTTCCTGTTGTGCAGGGGAATGCATTCGGGAAACATTTCTAAGCATAGGGATGCGACTTGGGCACATTTCTAGAGTAGATAGAAAGCAGATGATATACCAGTCTAGAAATGCTTTCAATGATGCTTTATTTTTAACCGGCACAGAGACTGCAGCATCATCTTCTTGTGGACTCTTGCTGGGTGGAGAGAGCGGGTGCTGTGAACATGTTGAATGTGATCCCAGCCAGACTTAGTGGGTGCAGGGGCCCGGGCGGAGCAGGTCTTGGCACTGCCTGAGAACCATCTTGCAGGCTCCAGGAGGTTGTGTTAGGTCAGCAAAGACTTCCCTTGCTGTGCCTGAGACAGAGCTGTCCACAGCAGGGGTGCTAGAGGGAGTGAACCTGACATAGCTCAGAACCACTCTTTTCAAAAGCATGAATGACTTCAGAGTCTCCTTCCCCAACAAAATCTAACTCTGGGTTTCAAAGGTAATTTATTCAACAATCAAAAATATTTTTTGAGGTGATTTGGGGGGGATGGGTGAAATAAAGGGGATTAAGAGTATATGTATCTTGGTGAGCACTGAGAAATGTATAGAATTGTTGAATCATTATATGGTCTGCCTGAAACTATTACAACACTGTATGTTAATTATAATTGAGTAAAAAAAATACTTATTGAGCATCAGTTATGCACTGGGCCCCTTTTAAGCACTATAGATAAAGCATTGAACACATATATGACAGATGGTGGTAAGTGTTAAGAAAAATAGAGTAAGGGGAGAGACAGACTGAGTAAGGGGTGGTGCTATTTTAGATTGTATGTGAAAGGGTGAGTTCCCTGATAGATGTTTGAGCATCCGTGGCTAAGTCTTTTTCCCTAAAGACACTTCTTCAGATACTCCCTGGGGGGGTCACATGTGCCAGTTAAGACTAAGATGCTCAAAATCCATGCCTAGAAATTGGGTCTGCCTGAGAACGTCTGTGTCACGCTGAGTCCGAGATGATGCCGTGGAGTCAGGACTTCCGTGCATCCCTCTGGCTGCAGGCCTCCTAGGCGGTCGCCCCCTCTGCTCCCACCAGAAGCCCCTCTGCACCTCAGGACTTCCTGTCCACCATCCCTTACCTCCCTGACTGTTGCCACAAACTCTCCAGCCGCTGCTTTGAGTTAGTGGTCGGATTCCTTCTCCATTTCCCAGCTGGAGACTCGTCCCCGCCCGCCGGGACCCAGGACAGGGGTGGACCAGCTTTCCTCTTCCTGCCTCCCTGTCCGGTTCTGCCGTCGTCCAGGATGGGCCACCTGGTGCCCTGCCTTCTGACTTCGCAGGTGGTCTCAGCCTTTCTTTTTCCCTGGGCAACCTGGGAATTCAAGTTGCCCATCCTTCTAAATACCTTGGACACTGTTTCCTCACATTGAAACTTGGGCAAACCTCGCACACATTCACTTGGGTCCCGTCACCACCCAATCGCTCCAAGAGCTGGAATTCTGTTGTTCCCGTCCCATGATAACTTCCCTTGATTCCTTCTTTCCAGTCCCCCTGCACCTGGCCTTGGACCTTAACCACTGCCTCCTGCCTCGTTCTCCCCTCTCGCGGCCTGGGGGAGCCTCAGCCCTCTCGCCTGTGTGCTTTTTGATGCTCCTGCCCCCGTGACTGTCCCCTGGCCTCCCCTCAACACGCAGGCCCATCTGTTCTCCCAGGCTGGCAGGCTGTGCCTTTTGACACCTGCACAGGTCACAGCTCACAGATACAGCGAAGTCCAAGCCCCTGGGCTACTCTTGGAGCCTGGTTAGCCCCTCTTGGACTCGGTTCCCCTTCGGAATCCTGACCACAGCCCTGCAGTCCAGTTCTTGCAACGACTCTGTTCGTGCACTTGGCCTTACCTTCTGCTGAGAAGACTGAGGTCATTTAGCTAAAACCCTTTGAGTTTTCTTACCCTGCACCTCAAAGTTTCTCTTTCTGTCTATCCTTTTCACCATTTGTTTTTAAGAAAATGTGCATATTTCTCCAGCATTTACCCCCTAGACCTGCATCACAGTGCCAGATTTAGAGTGTTCCTGTCTGTGTCCAGTATCCTCCAGCTGTCCCATCATCTGACACTTGTCAGCCCTCCGCTTCCCGGAAACGCTTCTCCATTCTGCCTTCTATGTGTCTTCACGCATGTGGTATTTTGGGCTTTAGAATGTCTACAGCCCTGGACTGTGAGTCTGACCTGGACCTTGTTCCTGGCGCTGCCCCTGACTTACTTGGGAGCTTTCGATGAGCCACCTTTTCTCCCTTGTCCTCAGTTTTCTCATCTGTAAAATGGGGTTCTTGGACCTGTTCCTAAGAGCTCTTCCAGTTCTCATGTTCTGAAGGGGAGGCAGGTGTGTCTGCCCCACATGGCTTCTCATGTCATTGTTTCTGCCAGTAGAGTCATGTGCCTGCTGCCTTGGTGCCATGTCCTCATCCCCAGGTGACCCCTCTCCAGCCACTTGGATTCCCAGAAAGCCAAGGATGGGACTCTATTATGAAAGACCTGACCATGCACCTCCGCTCCCTGGGCTGCCCAGCGTTCCCGTCCCCCGGCGCCCTGACACACACTCGGCGGGATCCAGGCGTCCTTCCAAGGCCAGACACCTGCAGACACTTAGACTCTACAGGCTCTCACATCTTTCCAGCTTCCAGCTCTGAGCGTGATGTGCTTTTCTTCCCCCACAAAGCAGGTGTAGGGTCCTTGTCTACCTGACTTTGAGGATCCAAGGATGTGCAGCAGAACCCTTCTCATTAGTCTTGATTTCTAGGCTGGACTCATGACAGGCTGTGTTCTGGTGAGGTCTGCACTTAGCTGTATGTTTATGTTTCTGGGTTCCCCTCCTAGCATGCCCTTTCTCACCCTGTTTAAACTTCTGACTGTCCTTCAAGACCATCTCAGACGACAGCTTTTCCTTCATGCAGCATGTCCTGAACTTCCCAGGCTTCTCCTGCCCCCTGGAAACCTTTGAGCTGCTTTGCTTTCTGTGGCAGTTTGCTTATCTGGCCTTGGGTTCATTATCTGTGTATATAAACAGACCTTTTTGATTAGATCCTGAGACTTAGGATTACTTCTTCTTGGTGACTCTTATTGACAAGGCATACCACCTAAAACCTCAGTCTTCAGCCCCAGAAGAGACCTTAGAAGCCATTTGTGAAATGTTTCTCTTGATGGTGAAATGAAAGCCTTTCGACTTTGGCAGGGCCCTCAGTGAGTAGCACAGCTCAGACTCAAACCCAGGTCTTAGGACCTCGGGGGTAAGTGCTCTTTTCAGTATGCTATCCCTGCGAACCTGTTTTCCTAACTGTAAAGTGGAGGCAGTGACATCTGTATCACAGGGAAACTGAGGGGCTCAGTGAGTTAATGGAGGAGAAAGGGTTTTGTAATCTAACATGGGTGTGGGTCTCCTCTTCCTAGCTGGGCAAGCTGAGGGGGGACCAGAAGTCATCACAGCTCCCAGAGGTGTCGCACTTAGGCTAGCTGGAACCTGCAAGGCTGCCTTGCCTGTGGGAGAAACGTTAGCAATTTAGGTGATCCCTTTAGGACTGTTCCCTGAGTCGTTGATTTTTCTGGGCTCCTGGGACAAATGAAGCAATTGATGGCAGGTGTAATGGATGGGGGCCAGAAGGGGAACGGTCCGCTTGGCTGTTGGCTTACTGCCACGAGGCTCCTGCGAGAAGTGACATCCCCACCCTGCCCCTGCATGCAGATCGGAGGGCTGGCAGTGGCGGGGCTCTTGGCACAGCTCTCTGCATACCCAGCTTCTGTCCCCAGCTCCCTGCAAAGAGCCAAGCCTGGTTACCATAGTGCGCTGCCCAGCCCTGAAGCAAGGTCAAAGTCTATGGGCATTGCCTATTTTTAGCAGTTGAGGCTGGGGCCTCCTGTTTCCCTTTTCCATATCAAGGCAGGCCACAGCCCATTCTGTAGATCTCACCTTTGCACAGCTCAAAGCAGGGGCAGGAGTTCTATTTTTATAGAGGAGAGCTTTCTTCTGAGAAAGGAGGCTCTGGCCTACACCCACCCAGCTTTCTTACAGACCGATCAGATAGCTGGTATTTCCTGAGTTCCCCCTCTGATGAGCTTTGAGCCGGGCATCAACCTAAAGACTGCACACAACTCTTGATTTAACCTTCATCATCTGGAAAACTAGCCATGGAGCAGACCCATTTTACAGATGATGAAGCTGAGGCTCACTAGGAACCTTGTAAAGGTCAAAGTGAGGAACGGAGGCAGGATGCAGAATCTGGTTTCACCCCCCATTGCAAAGGCCAGCCCTTTTCACTGGGCTCTCCCCGTTCCATTACACACGTCCTGGGGGTGGGGTTCTGGAGGGCAGGTGTGGCCATTGTTAAGTTGCTTCGGGGGGGGGGGGGGGAGGGGGGGAGGCTCCTAGCAGGAAAAGGGAGCATTTTATGGTGGTACGATTTGCAGCAAGGGATCCAGAAAAGGTGATTTGGGCCTTTGTCTCTAGACTCGTGGGATGTTTTTCCTCTGGTCTTTGCAGCCTAGGATCAGGTGGTTGGGTAGTAAGAGGCCCAAGGCTGCAAGGTGAGGTTGACACGGGTTCATTGGCTGCCGAGAGGGTCAGTGGACGCTGAAGGGGCGTTTGTGGCTTCGCTCTGATGATCACTTGGAATGCCATCCCATGTGCCCCTTGTGCGGACCCTGCTGAGCCTTCCTACGGTCTCAGGTGCACCTGGAGGGAGGGGCTGTCAGGGTGCTGTTACTGTGAGACAGGCAAACCTTCCATTTCAGTGGTCTGTCACAGTTTTCATGGCCACTGGGTTG